GAGAGAGAGAGAGAGAGAGAGAGAGAAAGAGAGAGAGAGAGGAGGGGGTGTTCATCCCAACATACAAACTTAACATTCTTTCATGTGTGATGGATACCACATGCAATTACCTAGTTTTATAATCTAAATTGTGTTGCAATGAGAGATTAATATTTGCACTAATGAAAGAATCAGATAATATTATAAATGGTTTTGCATAAAACTTGCAGTCTCAGTTGTAGTGGTGACTGAGACTATTTATTTCTCTAATGTGGAAAGTGTCCAAAAACATTCCTTGCCAAATAATAAGTGCCGACAATAAACACAGAGGAACAACAATAATTAGAAGCAACAACAACTACGTCAACATCTACTACCGCAACAACTGCAACAACAACTGCAACAAAAAGAGAACATTCCCATGAGTTGTATAACAAAAATAGTGAAGTTCAGCCGTTGGTTATGAATATAAAAAACAAAAACAACTAACAGCAACAGCAGCAACAACAACAACAACAGTAGCAGCAACATCAGCAGCAACAGCAACAGCAGTAGCAGCAACAACAACAACCAACAACAACATCGCAACAACATACCAAAAAATAAAAACATAATCTCATCTGCTCTATAACAAACATAGTAAAGTAAGTCCAACCGTTGCCTCCACAACATGGGCAAGAGCAGCAACAACAACAACAACAACAGCAGCAACAACAACAACAACAGCAGCAACAACAACAACAACAACAACAGCAGCAGCAGCAACAACAACAACAACAACAGCAGCAACAACAACAACAACAGCAACAACAACAACAACAACAACAACAACGCAAGCAAAAAAACAACAACCCAAATAAAATCAACAATGTCAGCAAAGACAGAAGCAACAACAGCAACAACAACACAACGCGTCTTACCTGCTCTATAATAAACATAGTAAATCAAGCCGTTGTCTCATCAACATGTGTATGGGTAACTACAACAGCAACAAAAACAACATCAATAGCAGCAGCAACAACAACAGCACAAACAACAACAACAATAACAACAACAACAACAACATCAGCAGCAACAACATCAACAATGCAAGCAAAAGACCTACAAAATCAACGATGTCAGCAAAGACAGAAGAAACAACACAGCTCTTACTTATTCTATAACAAAGATGGTAAAGTCAAGCCGTTGCCTCATCAATATATGAGCAGCAGCAGCAACAACAACAACAACAACAACAACAGCAGCAGCAACAACAACAACAACAGCAGCAGCAGCAACAACAACAACAACAGCAGCAACAACAACATCATCTACAACACAGCACGTCTTACCTGCTCTATAACAAAGATGGTAAAGTCCAGCCGTTGCCTCATCAACATGGGTTTGTCCAGCAACAACAACAACAACAACAACAGCAGCAGCAAAAACAACAACATTAACAAAAACAATAGCAGCAGCAACAACAACAACAACAACATCAACAGCATCAACAACACAGCACGTCTTACCTGCTCTATAACAAAGATGGTAAAGTCCAGCCTTTGCCTCATCAACATTGGTATGCCCAGCAACAACAGCAGCAACAACAACAAAACAACAACAACAACAACAGCAGCAACAACAAACACAGCAGCAGCAGCAACAACAACAACAACAACAAAAACAGCAACAGCAACAGCAACAACAACAAACAGCACGTGTTACCTGCTCTATAACAAAGATGGTAAAGTCCAGCCGTTGCCTCATCAACATGGGTATGAGGTTAGGCAGCAGCACGTGCAGATGTGCGTGTCGTCCGCGGAATGGGATGAGTATGGCCAGTTTGTGCGTGGGTCTGCAGTCTGTGGGTGACCAGTGTCCACCTCGCTGGATGGAGGGGAACATCCGCTGCATCTCCTGGTCTGTGACTTCGTTTTGGCTCACATTCATTTTGCCCACTGAAGAATTCAGGGTGGTGAAAAAGGGTGGGTTTTGTTGTTAATGGGTTTTTTGTTTTGTTTTATTTTGTTTTGTTATTAAAGGTGAGTTATATTCGAGGATGTGGAGGGGTTGGATATAAGGGAATCAGGGTTTGGGGTGGGGGTGGAAGGGATTGAGGGTTTTTTGGAGGTTGTGGGAGGGACACTGTGGGAGCAACACCAGTCCTACCACACATTGAAAAACAAAAGGTCAAGTGGTTCGGACACCTCACGCGGATGCCCTTAAACCATCCAGCTCTGGGAGCATACAACACTAAATATTCTGGATGGAGAGCCAGAGGAAGACCAAGGCGACGATGGAGGGAATCTGTGGCAGACACCCTTAGAGATCATGGGATGTCCCTCCTACAGGCCACACGACTTGCTGCAGACAGACGCCTGTGTCTCCCCGCGACACCCCAGGGTACAAGCGGAAGAAAAAAGTAAAGTAAAAAGTAAAGTGGGAGGGAGGGGGGATGTTGAAGGGTTTCCGGAGTGTTGGGGATTGGGGTTGAAGGGATTTCGTGGATGGAGGAGGAAATACAAAAGATTCCGTGGGTTAGGCGTGATGGCATGGGGGTCGGGGATTGAAAGGGGAGTCAAACGATTCAGGGGATGCAAAAAGGCGGGGGTGTGTTGAAGGGATTCGGGTGGGGTAGGGGAATTGGGTGAGGTGAGATGAGGAAAAGAAAGGCGGAAAATACTTAAGTACCTTTCTCCATCTAAGTGACTGAAGCTTGAATTTGTTCATTCTTGACAGCTGACGCATATAGTGAGTTGGAATAAAAAATGAGCATAATTTCTTTTGATTGTCTTAGTCTTTCTAGCCCTGACACCATGGTTGAAGCCTGCCTCCCAAATTATCTAAATTAGGTACATGGATGTGTGAAATACCTACATTATAACATTATTTAGACACACTGGTATCATGATATAAAAGTATGACTTTTCTTTATTATAGATGTAAAAGCTTTATATTCCTAAGAGTTTTGTCTGAATTCCTTACAATTTTGATTTTGTAAAGTTAATAAAAATAATTGTTCAAAGGCTTTTCATAAAGTTGAACATTAAGAACTTTTTCACGCCGATATACAGACAAGATTTTTCACAGTTTATATCCATGTCATCAGGTATACAATTAATGCACTTTGGGAAAAACAAACTTACGACAATTTCAGCCATAATAACAATGATAATGATAATTTGAGTACTGAATGGAATGGCTTTCCGGAATTGCCAAGATTTGGTGTATTCAACGTTTTGCAAGGGATTCCTTCAAAGATCTTTACCAAAAAGATACCAAAAAGAAAGGTGCACTTTCACTCTGGCCTAGCTATGGTGGGATTTATGGTGGGATTGTGGGATGTGCTCTTAAAAAAGTGTTGTTTTTTTACACCACCGTCTACACAATCTATAGCATTAGCACTACGGAGGTGGTCATCGATCATGTCTGTCAGGCCCACACGAGCTGAGAGGGATACAACATCCCAGCAGAAATACCTCGATACTCCATAAACATTGTAATGTTCCCCTCATGGGAATCTAAATCAGATCTTCTTCCTGCAGGTGCGAAGTGCCTAACCACTGCACCAGAGACACAGAACAAAAAGAAAGGCGTTGTGGGGATTATAATAGAGATTTTTATGACGGAGGAATGCACTTCCACTCCCACACCTGCAAGTTCACCCATAAAATGTGGGGGATTAGTGGGTGCACTTGTGTGGTTTGCTCCTTTTTCCTTATCATACTATTATAAATAATAATATGATACATTATTGTCCTTATTTTTTCCTTGTCCTTGTTTTCTACTGGTGTACGCGGTACACTCAAGTAACACCTCTGTTCTTTGACACGTAGGTAACAAATTGTCATTGTGGTGCAGGTGCTGTGAAGCCCATCTTTACTCAAAATCATCCTTAGAACCAAAGACTGTTCCTGGTCTGGCACTGGTGAGGTTAATACTTTAATATTGTTGTCGTTGTTGTTGTTGTTTTTGTTGTTGTTGTTGTTATTGTAGTTATTGTTTTTGCTGTTGTTGTTGTTGTTGTTGCTCATACCCAAAGGGATCTCATGGTATTGGGGTACCTCTCATTCGTGCCCAATCATTAGCATAACGAAAGACAATATTGAGAGGGTATTCAAAACCACCATACAAATACCAGAATCACGAATTAGCTTATTTTATTGTATGCACACATATCGTTGCCTGCCGCAACCGAATTGAAAAATCTGTATGAATACGCTACTTTTAAATTACAAAGTTCTATCTGACATTTTAGGCCATTTTGAGTTACTAAGACCATGAGGTCAGAAACCATTAATGCTCTATCAGCTCGATCAAAATCGTAAGATTGTTGGATGTCGTTATCAAGATATTCATAGAATGTCATTTGGAAAAGCTTGACATGACCGCTGTGAAACTCAAAATCTGTAACGTCACATTTCTAAAAACTAGGTATTGAGCGGATAGAAGAAGGTTGTAATTACTGGGCTAGAGAATAAAGAAGTCATAATTTTTTTCTGAAGAATCTCCAAAATCAGCCCGTTTTCAAGTATTGTCGAATGACCAAAATGCTCGTGCCCATTGAGTTATGAGACGTGCTCTATGGATCTTGGGGGCTCCCAGTGGCTAAATGAGTAGTGAATTCAGACTTGAAAGTACTGTCAAGCAAGTGTCGGTGACACGGGGTTATAAGTGGGTGGTCAGTGAGGTGTGTGTCTTTGAAGAAGACACGATAGCCCGAGCTAAAATAGAAATTAAAAAAAAAAGCAACAAAAAACCCCAGAACACTGCACAGTGGTGACCAGTAATGGCATGTTTGTGAAGATGTTCCGTATTGTTGAAATATTTTGTATTGATGAATGTATTTATGTATGTATTTATGTATGTATGTATCTATTCATCATCCAGTGCCAGATCTGCGACAGACATCGGCGATCATGGTTCTCCATTCATTCCTTTCCTCGGATGCTCTAAAAAAGGCTACGTTTCCCTGATCTTTCCCTGTTACCCATTTTTTAAGTTTCCCTAAGTACGTTGTTCTGGGCCTACCCCTGCCTCGCTTGCCCTCAATTTTGCCAGTGAGAGCTAGATGTTTAAGACCCTTATGTCTATTTATGTGTCCCAAAAATTGCATTTGTCGTTCCCTAATTTTGTTTAACTTTGAGCGTCCAACGTGGGCTTCATCAAGCACTACCTCATTTGACTCCATTTCCTTCCACGATATTCTTTGCAGTCTCCTAAGAAACCACATTTCTGTTGCTTCTACTTTATTTTCACTGTCCTTAGTGATTGTCCAGCATTCACAGCCATATAGAAGGGTTGATAATGTATCTATTATCTTGTATTTATGCATGCATGTTTGCCATTGTAATCCAAATTATTTCACCCCGAGGATCAAGAAAAAATTAAGAGACCCGGAAAAAACCGCCCAAGAAACTGGATGCACTTTATTCCATACGATCCTTTCCTCTCCCTGTGAAAAAAACCAACAGTTAATAAAACAAATAGTATGCAGCTGTTCTCATCATAATTGCAATTGCAGTTTTAAAAAAGTGAGTAAGTCATTCTTTTTCGAGATTCTAGTTGAAAAAATGACTGTTTCTTACTTTTGATCCTCAATAATATAGCAATGCTATATTTTGCGCACAGTATTTAAAAAAAACGAGTTATTGAGATTTTTTCACTATTCCTCTTGTCAGACGACTGACATTGGTACGCAATTTTACTTCAAAGATTTCTCAAAAGAAAACGAAAACAAAACAAGAAAAAACCAAAGCCAAACACAACAAAAGAAAAGAAAGATCAACTTTCAGGGTCAATATTAATTTTGATCGAGAGATCATAAGTCAGACTGCTTTAGGATGTAGCCTATTCTATTTGTACTGGTTTATATACACACATTCAAATCTATCTATCTATCTCTCTCTCTATCTATCTATCTATCTATCTATCTATCTATCTATCTATCT